TACTGAGGACCCTGGGGTGTAGAGTTGTCTGTGAAGCATGCTCTGTGCAGAGGTGAGCCAGGATGCGTCATCCCTGGGTGGTCATCTGCTGCCTAGGTCTGCAAGGATGGGTCTTAGGGCTGTGATGGCTCACTCTTCTGTGGATGGGGACCACACGATCTTCCCAAGTCAGCTTCAACATTTATAAATGTTCCATGCGGGGAGCCAAAACCCATCCCAGATTAAACTATCCCCCAGAGGGTGTCACATGGCCTGGGGGAGGCTGCTCAGTGACAGCCTCTGCACTGTGCACCTTAGAGCCCAGTTTGCTGGCTGCATTTGGCAGCAGTTCAGCCCTTTATCCAAATGAGTTTGGCATTTTTTAAAAAAAGCATCTTCATAACGTCTCCAAAATGCATATTTATAGGGCAAGGATGAGGGAACGGCTAATTGTGTGGAGAGCCTGTTGGATCTCCTTGGAGGACATTCCCAGGGGAATGAGGCTGCTGCTGATTCTGGGGGCCACCCCCTTCTCTGTAGGGGAGACCCTGGGAGAAACCCTCTAACCCAGCAGTGGGAAGCTGGAGGAGATAATGAGCATAGGAGCTCAAACTTGGAGGCTCCCTTTGGGAGGCAGGAGAGGCCAAGCCCAAGGATAGGTGAGTGGCTGAGAATTTAGTGTCATCGCAAAGCTTTCCCAGGAGCCAGTGACAAACTCCCAGCCAGGCCAGTGGCCCAACCACGGTTCCATCAGTGATGTGTTAAAAAAAGGCAGCCCAGAAGGCCTGCAATCTGCTTTAGGAAATTTCTCTGGGCTGCAGGATCTCTCTCTCTCTGTGGAGCCCAAGGAAGGGAGGGGTGTCAGGGAATAGCCCCTGCAATTTTACCCCTTGAGTTTTCCCAGAAGGGAACCAGGTGGTTCAGTAGGGCTTTTTTTTTCTGTCCCAAACATGGGTTCTGCTCGCAGGGATGACTCTGTGCAAAGGTGAAATCACTTGCCATCTGGTGGACCCCGTCCATTTAGGAGCGTGTTTGAGCTGCATGGGTTTGACACTGCACTGGGTCTCTGAGTCTTGAGGAGGCTACATGCCTTCTTCCCCAGGTGAGGGGGAAGCTCTGCTGTGTAGGAGCAAGAGGAAGGTGGGAATGGTAGCAAGGAGGTAGATCAGGCCCAGGGAGAGGCAGGAGAATACTGTAGGATGCTGTGCATACCACAACAGCAGGAGGCAGGGGTTATAGAAGTGTGTGTGGGGGTCTTCAGGAACCTGGAGAACCTGGCATTGGATAACATGGAAATGCTCACTTCCTCCGGGTGTGGTTCAGCGCTTGGGGGAAAAAAACAAAACAAAACCAGGCACAAGTGTAAGAGAATGCAGAGGCCCATGAGTGGCTGGAGGATGGCGAGCTGCTGAGTGTCCCCCCCCGCAGCCCCCCCCACCACCTGCCCTCTAACCTATGAAATGTGCTCCAGGGATGGCATCTACACGAGGAGCCTCTCTCCTTGGAGTAGGCCTAGTGGAGCCACAGGGATGCAGGGCACAGCCTCGGGGTCACTCCAAGGGCCTTGTCCCAAGGGGTGGGGTGAGGGTGGGGAGCAGCAGGCCCTGTGTGTACTGGTGGTGAATAAAGGGACTCTTGACCCTAGTATGACATGGCAGCCTCTGAGGTCAGGCTCTTCCCGAGAAAGCAACTGCTGGAAATGTGGCTGTCATTACTCAGGACCTACAGGGCTGATCAGGCTTGGCAGCAGGATTTCATGCAGGGGCAGGCACATGGAGGAAGGTATCTAAGGTAGGAGGCTTCTGGAGGAATCAGAAATGTCCACCACAGCAGGACTTAGTTTTCCCAGTCAGTCTCCCATTTCTCCTCCGCCCCATGCTGAGGCCTCTTCCCTTCCCCACAATCACCACGGTTCTCTGGTCCCTTATCGAGCTGTAGGTACATGGACGGCTTCCCAGAGAGTGCACCAGGCTTTTCTGGATGAGTTGAGGTTATAAACCACCCAGGCTGTGTCGAGACCCGGAGGTAGAACCAGGAGACATCTGGGGAAGACAGGAACTTGTGGGTCTGCCTGGAGGGGTCTGTTAAGGGCAAGGGTGGAATGGAGTGCAGTCTGGGTCGTGAAGGCTGAGGGCCGTGGGGCTCAGCAGGGGCTTGGCATGATGGGCTGATGCACATTGGTGAACTCCTGAGCTGGGGGTAGCTGGGAGATGCCAGTGAAGTCAGTGGGAGAAAAGTGCCCCAACGCTGAGGAGGCAGGATGGAGCTGGGAATGGTGAGGTAACCCGGGCAGGGAGTCTGTGTCCCCGGCTTGTTGAGTTTCTGTCTCAGCAGGGTCCAGGTGACTGCTCCACTAGGCTTGCCGTGTCCTGTACCTCAGCACAGCATCTCCCAGGAAGACTTAAATTTGGAGCAGATTTCTTAAGATACAAGGGAAATTGGCATCTGATCTGTCCATCCATCCATCCATCCATCCATCCATCCATCCATCCATCCATCCATCTGCACACCTACTCATCCACCCAACCACTCACCTATCCATTCAACAATCCACCCACACACCCATTAATTGTCCATTTGTCTGTCTGTCTGTCTTTCTGTCTATCCATCCATTTGTCCATGAACCCATCCACCAATCTACTCACACACCCGTCTGCCCATCTGTCCATCCATCCATCCATCCATCCATCCATCCATCCATCCATCCATCCACTCATCCACACATCCATCCACCCATTTATCCATTCACCAATCCACCCACACACCCATCCATGCATGCATGCATCCATCCATGCATCCATGCATGCATGCATGCATCCATCCATTGGCCTGTCTCCCCTTATCTCTGCCTGTGGGATCCATCTAGATAGAAAAACAGCCTAGGGTCACTTAAGAGAAGGAGTTCCCCAGCTCTCCTTGCCCTTGTGTCCCTTGTTGCCTACAGGGTCATCCTGTGGTGAGTAGACATCAGGGTGCCATCTGGCTGTCCTCAAGGATGACAGGTAATGGGGTAGGGTCTGCCCTTTTCACCCCAACCCTGATTTCAACCCTGTTTCTATGTCTTCAAAATAGGAGAGGCTATGGCTCCAGGGACTTTGGACCCTGGGCTGCCTGTCACTTCAGGTCTTCCTCCAGGTGTTGGTATGCCCTCCACAAGGGACATTTAGTGGCTTATGGAAAGCTGGTTTTGAACCCCACCCCATAGCTTGGGGGCTGGGAGACTTTGAAACTCTGCCTGACCCCAGACTCAGATCCTAGGACCCGCCCTCTACCCAGCTTGCAGTCTGTCCTGGGTTCCGTGGGCTGACCTGGAGCTGCTGGGCAATTTGGATCTGGCTGGGGGCTAAATTGCTGTGCCTTGGGCTGGGTGTCCCAATGCATTCTGCATCTGCTGGTGGTTGAGCTGTCACCATACTGAATGGGACGTCCGCCACAGGAGACAGATTGATCTCTGCTGACACCATGGCAGTGAAATACGCCTTTTTTTTTCTGAGCTGCCAGGGAGGTTTTTCCCTCTGCTGTTAAGTGTGTGTGTGTGTGTGTGTGTGTGTGTGAGAGAGAGAGAGAGAGAGAGACAGAGACAGAGACAGAGACAGAGACAGAGACAGAGACAGAGAGAGAGTGAGCCTGTGGGTGCACCAGATCTGGCAGTGGCAGTCTCCCAGGTGTGGTGGGCACTGTGGGATCCTGTTGCATGGAGGGGTTGCCTCATGCTCATGGCTCTGCTCCATAGGCCGCGCTGGCACACACAAGACGTCCCCACGGACATGTGTCATGCCTTGAGTACACACCACAAACGCCAGGGTAGTGGTCAGTTGACACTGGGGCAGTGCTGCAGGCTCCACCTTCTGCTGGGGACTCAGTGCTCACGGGCCTCGTCAAGGCTCTGTGAAGTCCAGCACACAGGTCAGGCGTGCTGAATGGATACCCACCAGAGACACCACTTTTAACAGCAGCTTTAGGTCCCTGACATACCTCAGGGTTTGTGGCTCTACCACACCCACTTCAGCTCCTGGCCTTTGGTGACCAGCCTGACTGTCCTGGATGGAGCTACAGATGTGTGGGCTGAGCACTGACTGAGAGAGCTCCTGGGATCTGTGTGGAGCCCGGGCTGTCTTCCCGCTGACCTTACTTTGCCTGCGGAGTCAGCATCCATGCCCAAGCCAGGCCCAGGCCTGGTCAGCACAGAAAGTCGGTCCATAGGTGTAGCCACAGGAGTACCCCGGAGTCAACATCAAGCCAGTCCTTTCCCGTGACCAGTGCCCTCCCCTGCCCAGGGACCTTCTCCAAACATAGCTTCCTGCCTGGCTCCCTTGGAGCTCAGCGTGGGGCCATGCTGAATGGAGCTGGTGAGGGTAAGAGCACAAGCCGATGTTACCGTGTGTGTGTGTGTGTGTGTGTGTGTGTGTGTGTGTGTGTGTGTGTGTGTGTGTAGGCTTGGGGGAGTCTCAGGGCAGGGTCCTCATGGCCCTCTGGCTCTGCTCACTGGGAGGGTTTCCTTGAAAGCCACAGGCAGGGCGTGAGTGTCCTATGGCTGCTGTGACACATGACCATATATTTAGCGCTTGAATACTCAATTACCTTCTTGCAGGGCTAGAAGCAGACTCCCTCTGTAGGTTACAGGGGAGCCTATGCCTGTCAGTTTCCAGCGTCTAGGCCATTGCGACTCTCCATTCGTGGTCCCTTCCTCCATCCAAAGCCAGTACGTCCATATCTCTAGGTATCCTTCCCCTTACTAGGGTCTTGGGAGGGCATTGGTCCAGGATGGTTCAGAATCATCTCCATCTTGAATTCCTCAGTTTAACCCCCTTCTGCCACGCAAGGCACGGTGGTTACTTTTCTCATCGCTGGGACTACACACCCGGGAAGAAGTAATTTAAGGGAGGAAGGAAGGGCTTCTGTTGGCTCATAGTTTGAGGATGCAGCCCCTCGTGGTGTGAAGTCGTGGTGGCAGACCACGAGGCACCGATCGCTCTGCAACTAAGGTCGGGACACAGAAAGGGGCGAATCCGCTCCTCAGCTTCGATTTCCTCTTTTTATTTGGCACATGGGACTCAGGCCCCGCAGGATGGCAGGGGGGGTCTTTCCACCTCAGTTAAAACTCTTTAGAAACGCCCCCCCACAGATAACACTCAAATGTACGCGTATTCTGAATCCCAAGAAGTTGATAAGGACGATGGACCATCACACAGCGGCACGGTCTAAGGTCCTGGAGTATTCTTGAGAAGCAGGGGGGAGGGGGGAGGGGGGTCAATCTTCTGTCCTCGTCACAGCACGCTCCAGCCCTACACAGGACTGGGTAGGGAAAGTGGGGTTTTACTTATAGCGTCCTGGGGAATGTTCCCCCACCCCCAAGAAAGCTATGGCTAGGTCCTTGAAGATCCAGGTGCCTATGCACAAGTCTGGGCAGTTCTGAGCCCAGGAGTGGCGAGTCAGTGGGGAGAGAGGGTGAACTGGGCCTTGAGCTACCTTTGCCTATTTTTTCAGTCGAGGAGAAACTCATGTAAGATAAAGGAACCAAGCCGGGAGTGGCATGCGTACCTTTAATCCAGGCAGGAGGGTCAGAAGTTTCAGGTCATCTTTAGCTACAGTTAAGCTTGCTGGCAGCCTGGGCTACGTGGGACCCTGTCTCAAAAGGAAAACAAAACGAAACATAAAAGGAACCATTTTAAAGAGAGAATCATCGGAGAGTGCCTATGGTATCTACTGCAGTATAACCGTCTCTTCTGTGTCCCTCTAGAATGTCTCGTCACCCGAAAGAGACCCACTCCCTGTGGGTTATCCCTCCCTTCCCGTCCCTGGGTCTGTCCATCCTGAGAGTCTAACTTTCAGTCACTCGCAGCACCATGTTTAAGAATCACATGCGGCTCCTTTCCTTTCTGCTGTGGAAACGGGCAAGTTCACGAAACCCGGAGAAAGTGGCGCTGGTCCTGGTTGGACGCTACTCCAGACGCAAAGCTGCCATCATGAAAGACATTGACGATGGCACCTCAGACAGCCCTTACACCAGCCATGCCCCAGTGGCTGGAATTGACTGCTCTCCCCGAAAGGTGAATCACCCCATGCCCACAAGGTACTCTGTGGGCATCCCCTTGGACAAAAACTGTTGTCAACAAGGATGTCTTTAGAGACCCAGCCTGAAACACAAGGCGAGGTGGGAAGCCAAGTTCAAACTTGAGGAACGATATAAGACAGGAAGAACAAGTGGTTTTTCCAGAAGCTTCGCTTTCAAGTGTACTTTTGTCCATCATTAAAAGTAAAAAAAAAAAAAAAAAGTATGCAGCAGCGCTTTGGTTTTTATGGCCAAATAATGCTCCATCCTACCAACGTGCAATGTGTTGATTAAGATGGCATCTGAAGCTGGGTGGTGATGGCATGCGCCTTTAATCCCAGCACTCGGGAGGCAGAGGCAGGCGGATCTCTTTGAGTTCGAGGCCAGCCTGGTCTGGAGAGCTACACAGAGAAACCCTGTCTCAAAAAACAAACAAACAAACCAAAATAAATAAATAAATTTAAAAAAGGTGACATCTGGGTTGTGCTGTCTGCACCACAGACAGTGCCGCAGGGACCTCTCAGACACGTGCCTAGGAGAGGAGTTGCACAGGTTTACTAAGGTCTTATCGTTGGAGAAGCTGCCTGCTTTTTGGCAGCGGCTTCACTGGCATGGATGAAGACATGGGGTTGGGTGGGATCAGTGTCTCCTCCATCCTGTTTCCTGGGGAAAAGATGAGAAATGTCTACCATTTTTGAGAGCCGTGTATTCATGGGTACAAGGACTTCAAGGCTTCAAGGAAGTCTCCCTTAGTTTCAATGCCAGTGAGTTTCGGGGGAGAACTGTCAGGTATGGTCTGTGACAAGGGTACCCCAACTCCTGCTCCTGGGTGGAGGACAGGCTGCCTTGTCCAGGCTCAGTGGCTGGCCCCTGTTGAGGTATATAATCCGTGAAAAACCTTGTTCCTGAGAACACACTGGGTGGGTGGAGCACAAAGGATCTTGGGTGGCTTTGCCTTGTTGTGGGTGACTAAAGATACCCCAGGTGTGGGCTAGTCTCTGCAAGAGCCCTACACAGCTGTGGAGAAATGTCTCTGTCACCTCTGCCTGAGCTGATGCACAAGGGACGCTTGCACCACTGCCCCAGAAGACATTAAGTCTCACCCGAATTCAAGTCGATCCGCACAAACAGGATTCTAGCCAACAGTCTCACCATGCCCTGTCTTCGGGCCTAGTTGTCTAGTGGTCGATGATTCAGTCAGTTGATTAAGTCATTCATGCATCCATCATTCATAATTCTCCAAGCACCAAAAAGAGGTATTAAAAGACTCAAAGGTAACTGTGTTGAGGGTGACCATTTTAGAGACCTTCCCAGCTATCCATGTCAATATGGGTGCAATACTTATTCATTTATTTGCTTATTTATTTATTTATTTATTTATTTTGAGGCGGTCTTACTATGTAGATACTGCTGGCTTGGTATTCACCGTAGCCCAGGCTGGCCTCAGATGCTTGGCAACCCTGCCTCCTGAATTGCTGCTGTTATAGGCTTGTGCTGTCATACCTAACCACACATGCAGTCTTGAGGGGGACCTAAGGCAACATGGTGGTCCCAGCTGAGACTTCTCCGCATGCCCTGTGAGGAGGGTGCCTTGCTCCCTTATAAGTGGACAGTGAAGTTCTAAGAGCTAGAAGCTGGAGCCCAGGGTCTTCTCTCTGCAAGAGTTTGTCCTCTGGCTGTGTCCTGTGTGTGTGGGGATTTGGGACTGTTTGCTCACTGCAGTTTCTCTGGGGAAGAGGCAGTCCTGTAGCCCTATGGGTCCTGGGTACACCCTACAGCACTGTGCCCACCCCAGCTTGACCAGCAATGAGTTCCCATCTCCCTGCTTCTCTCTCCTCGGTTGGGACACCAGGTCACAGTTAGCCTCTGCAGACCGGTCTCTGTTGGTGTCCTCTCCTGCTGGGCGACCAAGAGCCTTGGGAGTAAAGCCAAAGGGTGTCCTTACCTCACCACCTGGGTGGAAGCAGGCTGCTCATGTGTGTCTCCCGGGAAGGTGTAAATGGACATGCTCCCCCAAACTGACCAGGACGGGGGGGGGGCATTTCTCTAAGTACAGGAGGAAGGAGATTTGTGAGTGGATTCTAAAACAACAGGAAGTCGTTGGATGCCTTGTGTTCTGTGCAGGGCTTTGCCAGGAGGAGCAGTCATGCCCACTGTGGGTTCAGCTTCAAGGCTTCTACCGATGGCTCTCAAGTCATCCCGTTTGTTCCTTGTCACTGTACTACACGGTGGCAAGGTGGTAGAGACTTGCTCAGTGTCACTCTGCTCGAGGGGGATGGTTGGCAGGTTCAGACTGCTGGATTCTGAGTCCCAGCCCAGTGGGGGCCATGTTCCCAAGCCATGCCTTTTATAAGGACCCAGGTGGGAGGCAGAATGGAAGCACTCCCAATCATACTCACCATTGTGGATATGGGGTCTTCTAGCCATACATCCTTGATGTAAGGTTCTGGAGGAGGTAGGAGTGACAAGTGAGTTGGTCTTGCCTGCTTCTCAAGGTGACCTGTAATTATTACACGGCGTTGACTTGGGACGCCTAGGAAAACTGGTGACTCTGTTGCCCCTTGACTCAAACCTACATCTGAGCAAAAAGACACTACTCTGGAGGTACGGAGATCCTGGGCCAGCTGGGTCTTTAGGGGACTAAGGCCAGGGTGGTACCAATCTCCCTCCCTGGGCCCTGCTTCCTGGATCAGCTCCAGTCTCCCCAGGGTGCTCTGAGGAACGGGCTATTGTGGCCTCAGAGAGAGGCAAGTGCCCACTGGGGAGGAGGCACCTCTGTACTGGGCCTCACTAAAAATAGCAGGGGGATTCGGACAGGGACAGCCGGTAGCAGGCTGGTCAGGGAGGGGTTGAGAGGGGGACGGGGCAGCCCAGGACCTCTGTCAATGGTGCCGGGGCTCCCACCCTGTTCCCTGCTGCCCGGCCAGCCTCGGCCCAGCTGACAGGCTATTTTTTCCCCTGCTTGACTAAATATGGTCAGGGCGCACAGCCCGAGGGGGGCCACTTGGCCCAGCCGCGTGTTTGGGATGTTTGACCGGGTATATAAGAACTGCCAAGGTGAGGTCGCTCCTGATCCAAGGGCCCCATGCCCCACCAGCCTTGGGTCAGGCCATCCCGGCTCTGCCCTCCCCCACCCCTCCCTGCATGCATGAATCTTGGCCTGTGGGGCTGCGTGCATGTGTGAGCGTGCATACCCGCGGGGTTTTTCTCTTTTTCCCTTTTGTTCTGCTCTGACCTCTACCTGGTACCGACAGGGCTGAGGGTGCAGGAGCTTTCTGCAGCTTTGGCCGGGCAAGGTGTGCAGCTGGGCTCTGCCTCCTTAACTCTGCATCATCTCTCTCTCTCTCTCTCTCTCTCTCTCTCTCTCTCTCTCTCTCTCTCTCTCTCTCTCTCTCTCTCTCTCTCTCCTCCTCCTCCTCCTCCTCCTCCTCCTCCCCTCCCCTCCCCTCCCTTCTCCCTCTTCCTCCTTCTCTCTCAAGATTTCCCTGCTGCTAAGTCTGCGCTGCTGCAGGAGAGCTGGGGGAAGGGCAGGGGTGCGGAGTCGGGGTGCTGGTGTCTTCTTTCTCTCTCTGCCCCCCCTCCAAGTGCGGACGCCACGGGAGCTCCGGCCCGCCCCCACCCCTGCATTTGCGATTGGCTCCGGGAGGAGGTGGCTACGGCTGCCGCTGCTGCAGCATCTCCCGGGGAGCCGCGACCCTGCGCCCGCTGCCACTGCTGCCGCGGTCACCAGACCAGTCCGAGGGGCGCCCAGGGTTCCCTGGTGAGTCCCTCTTAGCTGGCTGCTGCAGCTGCCCACCAGCTAGGAAAGCCCCTGAAAACTTATCGGCAGTGGTGGAGGTGTGCCCTCTGGTGAGGTGGGTGCTGTGGGTGCTGCGGCCGCGTGGCTCCAGAAGGAGTGCCTGGAGTTTTCTCTTGGCTCCCAGCATCATCCACATTTGGAAAACTGCAGAGCCAGCAGCCGGCAGAGCTGGGAGGGCTGGGAGGGCGCGTCCAACCGGGATGCAGGAACTTTGACATACGGCTTTTTGCAAGAAAGCAGCGCCCCTGAATGCTTGGTGGAGGGCAGGGTGGATGGCGCCGGCTGTTCTGGGGGGACTGGCCCGGTGGCTGAGGAAACACATTAACCAGTTGAGCGAAACAGCAGAGATTGTGGCTAAACTTACCCTGGAACTTGCAACCTCGACATGAGTGCGTTGGGGGTGGGGAATTTCTGAGGAGCGCTGACAAGGCTGTCATGGGCTGGGACTCTGGATTTTCTGAAGCTCTCCCAGCCCTGCCGGGATCAAAAGGGTGCTGTGTCAGGCGTCCAGGGGCTAGAGCTGGGGCTGGGGTAGGATTGAGTCAGTGTTCACAGTGGAGAGACTCTGGATAAGGCCCCGCCCAAGACGCCTGCTCTGCTTGCCATGGGGTCTGCTTGGAGGTGGCTGATAACCACTTTTCTGCCAAAGTGGCAAACTTTGTGAGAAGTGGCTCTCATTCATTTTGTGAGCTAGCAACTTCAGAGGATGTGGGCTGAGTTGACTCCTGCTCTTCCGGTCCCCCCAACTTTCTGTTTGGCATCCACACACCATCAAAGGAACACCTGGAGGTGGGATAGACAGAGGGCTGAGGTTTCTGTTCTTCCAGTTCTTGGGGTCAGTGGCTCAGCCACACCAGGGGCAACCCCCCTCCCCACCAGAGGCTGGACGTTAAGGCTGCTGCACTGGCTGCCATTTTTATCCTTGGCTACGTGGATATGAAAAATTAACAGTTGCCACATGGGAAACGGGCATTCGTTTCTGCCCCTTGCTAGGTAGCTCATTCTTGCTGCACGAGGGTGCCTCTCAGCACCTTAATCCTCTCTCCACCCTGCTTGGCTGCAGCTGCCAGAGCCAAGGGACCTCTGCATGCTGCAGGCTCTGCAGAGACAGGGCCCTCCCAGTAACTGGAGAGTCTGGATGCTCTCTGGGGTGTTTCCCTCACAGGGAACAGGGCTGGTCAGGTCATGCCAGAGACAGACATCATCCTGCTGACAAGGGAGAACTGGACGTTCTTTCAGGCACTGGGACTACCCTGCAGCCCCACACCAGGACCAAGCCCAGCCAGACCCTCTGTTTGCACCAGCCCAGCTCCTCCTGCAGTGGGTATCTTCAGCTCTCTCCATAGGTAGCCACCTGCAGGGCCACCTGTTCCAGGGTTCCAGCACCTGCAGGCTCACCTTGGGTGATGGTGAGCCTCCTAGCATGTGAGTGTCTTCTTCCTCCTCCTCCTCTTCTTTCTTCTCCTCCCTCCCCTTTCTCCTTCTCCTTCTCTTTCTCTCAGGCTGAGAACAGCTCAGGTCCACTGTTGAGAGCCTGACCTCGAAGTCCTATCCATCTTTCTGTTTCTCAGATTCTCATTTACCTCTCTCTAGGTGTAGAAGTAGGTAGGGCGGAAGGGAGTCCCCATTTACTTCCAGAGAGATCTCAAAAGCCAAGAGGAGAAACAAAATGCAACTAACTTTCCCAAGCACTTTTCAAATTCGCCTGTATGTTTCTCAGAGGTTGGTTTCCAAGCGAGGATCTCTAGGTCCAGGAGGACAGTCCCTTTGTTTAGCTGTAAATCCCTGATCAGGGACCGGGTGGAAGTTGGGTGGATCAGGTAGGGGACGAGCCCCTCAGGGATGACCAGTGAATTTTCTTGTGAAAATTCAGATGGCTCAGGTTGGTGACCGTAGATGCAGAGAGAGGATAGAGGGTACAGAAGAGAGAAGAGGGCAGGGGCCACAGTAGAAACACTCCCTCTCTGGTTGGGCATCAGCTCTGAGGTTAGGCTGAGACCTGAAGAGCCGGCCATGAACAGGTCATCTTTCAGGACCCCCTAGACACTTTGTGGGGACATGGAATCCAGGATCACCATTTTTCCCCCTTTCGCTTCAAAGAAAGAGTCACAGAGCCCTCCTCTCAGGGAGGGCGAATCCATCAGGGCCCTGCTGGGGGAAGCCATCGCCTGTCCAGGTAAGTCCCTTGGTTCATTTCTGGGGACTCCTGAAACTGATTGTCCTCATCTTTCCTGGGAAAATGATGTACCTGGTCCTTGGTCTGGGTTGCTGCTCCTGCATTCTGTCTCCTTACCCCATCATCTCTGTCCTTGGAGGGGACAAGGTGGGCAGGAAAGGAGAGGGAAGGTGTTGACAGGGGCTGGGTGTTGTTTCTGAAAGTCTGGGATGTGACTCTCCTCCGTCGTGGGGGGGGGGGAGATGGGGGATGGGAGAGGACTCCAGTCTTGTTCCACGGAGGGGAAAAAACGAACACGCGGTTAGGGACAGTGAGGTTCCTGAGACTTTCCAGCATGCTGCGTCTGCTTCCAGCCTTCTTTTTACCAAGAGCGCCACACGTGTGAGAGAGACTGAGGCCCAGGCAGGGCAGGTGCAGAGTGGGGAGAGATGTGACCCCAGGAGAGTCGCTGGGTGTGGGTGGGGAAGGGGTCCTGACTTGGTGCCGGGGAACTTGAACGAACAGAACCTTGTGGGAGTTCTGCCTCCTCCCCACCAAGGGGGTCGGCCCGCGTGTCGGGCCACACTCATGCGCGTTTGCGTGCACCGAACTACCTGCTTGGGGCACATACTTCTTTATATGCCCATATGGACCTGCTGAGCTATGGAATGTAAAGAAGTATGTATTTCAGGCTAGGAACTCTCTCGCCAGACTGAGGGGGGGCGGGTGTTGGTGGTGGTGGGGGCGGCGGCCTGCGCCCTGTGGGTGGCTTCTCTTGGGAGATAGACAGGCAGGGCCACCACGGGAGGCCTCCTGCAAGGGGGACTGACTGGCGGCTGTGTCCCTGACGGCATTGTTCTGCCACTCTGCCTGTGTCAGCAGGTGGAAGCGCTCGTCAGACATTAAATATTCAGTGTGCTGACTGCGGCAGAGGGAGGCGGCCCTCCGGCAGGCCTGGGGTCCCGAGTGGGGCTGCTGGGGCTGGGGGAATGGGAGCTTGGCTTGCTGGTGGAGCTGACCGTGACCCTTGTTGTGTCCTGAAGGGGTGCTCTCAGCAGGAAGGGTGTGGGTAGTGGGGTAGGGATTGCTCAGGCCACTGGGAGAGACTGCAAGTTCTAAAGGGCTGCGCTCTGCGGGGGGGGGGGTGTGAAAAGAGGGGAGAGAGTTTGGTAGCCACATGGCAGAGGCTTTTGAGGGAAGAGTCTCCTGCTGCCCTGGGTCTGGCTCACAGGCGTGGTGGAGGAGGGGAGGTGGAGAACCCTGTGTGGAGATACCGTTGACCCCAGGGTGCTGCCGGTCCCAACTCTACTCTGGTCACCCATGATGATTAAGATAACGGAGCCAAGTGTCTGAATCTGTCCCGACCTGGGTGGAGGAGTCAGCCCTGGTGGCCTGGGTACAGCAGTCCATCCTGGGACCCTGGGCCCAGTAGCCAACCCCCCGGGGGGGCCTAGGTTGTTTTGTTTTGCTAACTCTGCGGATCTATTCTGGCCCCCAGGTTTTCCCCATCAGAGTCCCAGCATCACCCTGTTCTCCTTCCTCACCAGATCCAACACGAAACCTTTTTTGCTGGGAAGGCTAGCCAAGTTTCTGCGGAAACTTGTGCAGCCTAGGATCCCTGTCCTACCTGCGTGGCTGACAGCTGGTCCGGCCAGGAAAAGGGGCTGGTTTGACAACCTTTGGGTCCCAGGAAAGGAAGGCAGGGTCTTCCAAGCCCTTCCCACAGAGTGGTACTACTCAGGTAGGATGCTGAACCAAGGGCTCTGGGTGCAGCAGAAAACTGGCTGCCTATGACTAGCTACTGCCTGGTTTCATTTCTGGGTCTCAGCGTAGAGGGTGTCTGTGATGGGCTGGAGTCAGCATCCGCACACTGGTGTCTCTTCCACAGGCCCGGGGCCTTTTCTCCTACGCGAGTGAGGGTGTGGGCGCTGTTGTCAGTTGCCCCTCTGCCAGCTGTGTGCAGCAGGTGCCCCTGTACGTCCTGTACCGTGACCTTTGGTAGGAATGCGACTGGGAGGAGCGGCAGGTCCCCTCTGTCAGCTCTAAGTGCTGGGTCTCTGGTACCTAGGTGATCCAAGCAGCCGAGGCCAGGCTGAGGCTCTTCAGACCAAATGCTAGGGACAGATCTGAGCTCACAGGTGACTCTCATTCTGCGTGGTCTTGGTGTGACTGTAACTGAGGTGCAAGGAGCCTCTGCAGTTAAGAGCCCATTTCCAGTTTTCAGTTCTTCTTTTCGGAAGCTGTGTTTTCTCCAGATCTCCGGATCCATGTGTGCAGAGGGTGTGGCAATCAGAAGGCAGCCTTGTCCTTGGCACTGCCTCCCTCTTGGTCATTGGTCCCAGAGTGGCCAGTGCTCCATAGCCCCCGGAAGGTCATCTATACCCCACTCGATTCCAGCTCCGGCCACAGGGAGG